CACTGCTGAAAACCCAAAGTGCTCCCACGCCCCAAACACCCACAGCTCCCATATCCAAAAWCCTCTCAGGATGAGAAATTCACCTCTGGGGATCTTTGCTTTCCCAGAAACTCGCTGGGCTCCTCCTGGGAAGCCTGAGGGAGGATCCGAGAGGCAGAATCCCCCTGGATTTCAGGCTGCCACCCAGGCTGTGCCCACTGGCACAGGGCTGGGCTGTGTACGGATGCACACTGATGTAAACCACACGTCTCTTTTTTCACCTAAGCCCCGAGAAAACCCATTAAACCCTGCAAATGTCAACTCGGTGTTTACACTGCTGGGGAAAAAGCAAATTTGCCATCGAARTCCCAGCAGAGATTGATGGCTGTGCAGGTTCCTCGGCAGGAGGTGTGACAGACCCTCGCCTTGCTCTGCCCYGAGGAGCCCAGAACATTTTTAGGAGGTTCAGCACCTGCAGCAGTGGCTGCAATAAAAGCAGTGCAGGTCTGTGAGAAGAGAAAGGAGATATTTCTTATAAATGTTCCATTTTCTTCAGAGCAGCCAGGCTGGGGGCAGGCACTGGTGACCAACATAAGCCGTGTTTTCCTGAGATTTTCGGACCTGTTACCACTGAAACAGCACTAAAATGAAATAATGGACAGCACTGACAATGATAAATCCCTCCCTCCACAACRAAAGGGACAATGGTTTCATGCAATAAAAGAGGGAATGGCAGCCTGGAGGGTTCCCAGATGGATTTTTGCATGCTCAGATCCGTGCTGGGATGGGATCCCTGCTGGTCTCTTACTCGTGGAATCGGCAGGTCTGGTTTCCCAGGAGCACGGACACGCGGCTGCCAGATCCAAGGTAGTGGCCAGAGATTGTCACCATGGTCCCTCCGGATTCAGGGCCACGGCTGGGGCTCAGGAAACTCACGGCTGGAGTCTGCAGAGAGGAAAGGACAAGCTCAGAGACATTGAGACAGCGTGGTTGTGGCTGTGACAGCGGGGAAGGACCGTCCCTGGGTGTGTCCGAAACCAGGCTGGACATTTGGGATGGTGGAAAGTGTCCCTGCCCGTGGCAGTGGGGTGGAATTGGGATTTTAAGGGGGTGGAATTGGGATTTTAAGGATCCCTTCCAACCCAAACCATTCTGTGATCCCATAATCACTGCTTTGGAGGCACAAAGCTGAACCCAAACCCTGTGGGAACCCTGATTTATTCACAGGGTGAGCTCTCCATCTGGGATTGCTGATTGAGCACCAAAAAATGGGCAACACCAGAGGGAAAACACCAGAAAAAAAAGGGCAATTCTGGGATTGTCTCCTGGAGCTGAGCCCCCTTGGGGTGACACTCTGACTCCCGGGGGACGCAGGTGCTGTCCCCAGCAGGACACTCACCACGAACATGTACTGCTGCGCCGACTTGGCCGTGAACTCGGGCTTGCACTCTCCGATGCACAGGAGCACTGGGCCGGAGCTGATCCCTGGAAGCGCCTGCCCCATTTCACAGACGATCCTGGAAGCGCAAATGCCGCAGGGAAGCTTTGGCAGGAGGTGCCAGCAGCGCCCTGCTCAGCTCCACGCAGCCCTGGCTGCCTTTATTTCTCCTTTCTCCCTCCCCCTTTAACTTTGATATCTGCCTCTTTGGAAGAAGTTAATTACTGAGTCTATTTTTACCCCGTGTAGTAATTTAAAGGAAAAAAAAAAATCAAAATTAGACATAATTATTACAAGCTGTAAACTCCAGAGCAAAGCTGAGCACTAATGGCAATATATTAGCCAGTAGCAAAGTGAGTGCGGAGTCCTCAGAGTAACGGATGAGTTCATTAAGGGAACAGCTCACACTGCAGACTCCCAGTTAATCAAAACTGGAGAAATCTGCTGGGGGATGATGGAGACAGCCCTGGAGWGCAGCTTCTGCTGGGGGACAGGGCTGGCTGCCACAAACACACCCATGGTGGCCACAGGAGCTTGTCCCTGTGCTCCTGGTGTGGACCAGCTCAGCCCCACGGGCACATCCTGGGGCTGGGAGAGCTGCAGGGACAGGGGGAGCTGCTGGGGGTAACCCCAAATGATGGCCCTGTGGATGAATAACCCCAAAATCCCAGGGCAAAGCTGCAGGGATAGGGAGAGCTGCTGGGGTAACCCCAAATCCCCAAATGATGTCCCTGTGGATGAATAACCCCAAAATCCCAGGCCAAAGCTGCACGGACAGGGGGAGTTCCTAGAGGTAACCCCAAATGATGGCCCTGTGGAATAGCAACCCCAAAATCCCAGAGCAAAGCTGCAGGGACAGGGGAAGCTGGTGGGGGTAACCCCAAAAGATGGCCCTGTGGATGAATTACCCCAAAATCCTGGGGCTGGAAGAGCTGCAGGGATAGGGGGAGCTGCTGGGATAACCCTAAATGATGGCCCTGTGGATTAACAACCCCAAAATCCCAGGGAAAAGCTGCAGGGACCAGGGGAGCTTCTAGGGGTAACCCCAAATGATGGCCCTGTGGAATAGCAACCCCAAAATCCCAGGGAAAAGCTGCAGGGACAGGGGGAGCTGCTTGGGTTAATCCCAAATGATATCCCTGTGGATGAATAACCCCAAAATCCCAGGGCAAAGCTGCAGGGATAACCCCAAATGATATCCCTGTGGATGAATAACCCCAAAATCCCAGAGCAAAGCTGAAGGGACAGGGGGAGCTGCTGGGGTTAACCCCAAATGATGGCCCTGCGGATGAACAACCCCAAAATCCTAGGGCAAAGCTGCTGGGGGTAATCCCAAATGGTGGCCCTGTGGATAATAACCCCAAAATCCCAGGTCAAAGCTGCAGGGACAGGGGGAGCTGCAGGGACAGGGGGAGCTGCTGGGGTTAACCCCAAATGATGGCCCTGTGGATGAATAACCCCAAAATCCCAGGGCAAAGCTGCAGGGATAACCCCAAATGATATCCCTGTGGATGAATAACCCCAAAATCCCAGGGCAAAGCTGCAGGGACAGGACGAGCTGCTGGGGTTAACCCTAAATCATCGCCCTGTGGATGAACAACCCCAAAATCCCAGGGCACAGGGGATGTGTGACACCAGCTGGGGACGGGATCAAGCGGATGCCAGTCGTGCCAGCAGGTCTGAGGGAGGTTTTCAGAGGGGCATCAGCTGGCAGGGCTCTCCAGATGGACCTGAGAGGGAGGGATGGATGGATGGATGGATGGATGCTGCTGGCTCCCACAGCAGTGCTGGAAAGATGAATTCAAGAGCATCCCTCAGGCGCTGAGGAGCTGAGGGCGGGAGGAACCTGCCCCAGCCTGGAATCTGAGGGTGGGAATGATTTGCCTCGGGATTGGAAAGCTGAGATGGGGAATTTGCCTCGGGGATGCAAAGCTGAGGGTGGGAGCGATCTGCCCGAGTCACACCCGGGGTCTCTGACCCCACAGAAGAGCCAGAGCCGCCTCTGGAAGGAGAAGGGAGGGCTCACCCCTCTCTGCCTGTCACACACAACCACATAAAACGCTCCAATTTGGGCAGGCAGCGAGCTCCAGCTGCCTTCAGCAGCRCTAAATTCACTGCAAACAAAATAAAATAAAATAAAACACGGCGACGAAAGGAAGAAAGGGAGCTGCAGCTCGCCTGCCCAGGTGATGCCAGGAGGGCTGATGGAATACACACACACACAGAGCCGGATCCTCGCACATCAAAAGGCTCTGCCTGGAGAGACTCAGCCTTCCGAGAGCRGGGATTGAAGCATCCCAGCCCCGCTCCTTCCTCCGCCACGTGTTCCGCGCTCTGCTTTCAGCAGACACCGCTCCTGCGCTTCTCTGCCTGTGATTCCTTCGCTTCTCCCTCCTCCTCCTCCTCATCCTCCTCATCCTGGGGACAGGAGGGCACTGAGCTCTGCGGGCAAACCGAGCCTGGGAGGGGATTGCGGGCAGGAGGAGAGAGGGTGGGAGGTTCTGTCACATATTCAAACATCGAGCACTCAAATCTGTGCCAGCTGCTGCCCAGAGCTGCGGGACAGGGCACAAGTGACCCGCCACACCTGGTACCCCTTCCTGCCCAAAGCCRGAGCCCCAGCAGGTACCTTGTTACAAAACGATGCATTCGGCAGAGCCGTGGGGTGCTGATTGCCGGGCTAAGTGGCCCTTTCACCAACATTAACCTAATTGCTGGCTGATAGATTGCGGGGCTGCAGCATATGGCAGAGTCATTACAGTCCTGGAATTCAGTCTGCCCACAGAACCCTTAAGAGGGTCCTTTTATCTGTATTCATCTTTAAAAGGCAGCTCTCATGCTAGCGCTTGCTGTTATCTGCCCAGGGTAAATGTTTTAATGATGTTAACAAACTTTGAAAGCCCGAGAGCCRTAATTAGAGTCATGATTATAAAATCAGGGTTTCGTACTATCAAAGGGGGATAATTTCATAATCTTCYATCCTTTATTGGGAAAATGAAATCTAACAACGTAGGGCTCAGCAGAACAGCCCAAAGTGCCCGCAGTGACGGGGTTTTGGTGCCGTGGTTGGAGCTGTTCCTGCAGGWGCACCAGACACCCTTCATCCCGTGATCCCAGACTCCCTGAATTCACTCAGGCACTCTGAACTCACCCCCGCTGCTCCAGAGGGGCATCAATGCCCCTTCTGACCCACAGATGGGGGAAAGGAACTCCAGTAAAGGTCAGACCCCAAACCAGCACCACCCCGAGTTGCGGGTGACAGATCCTCACACCGCCCTGGGGCTCTGAGCRGGAGCCACCCAACGCAATTCCCCTCCAGAGGAAAAATCCTTCCAGCTGCTCCCCAGGCTGGGCCAGGGCTGTGCTGCTGGAGCCACTCGTGGGGTGTTGGCCACCTCCAAATGAGGATCCTCAGCACAGCCTGGTCCCCAGCACATTGAGCATCCTCAGAACAGACACGAGCCTGGTTCCCTCCACACTGAACATCCTCAGAACAGGACACAAGCAGCAGATGACACAACCCAAGGGGTCACAGGACACCAACCTGGTCCCCTCCACACTCAGCATCCTTAGAACAGACATGAGCCTGGTCCCCAGTACACTGAGCATCCTCAAGAAAGGGCACCAGCCATGTCCCCACCTCACTCAGCATTCTCAGCCCAGGACACCAGCCGTGTCCCCACCTCACTGAGCATCCTCAGAACAGCCTGGTACCACCACACCGAGGATGCTCAGCACAGCCTGGTCCTCACCACACTCAGCATCATCAGAAGAAACACCAGCCTGGTCCCCTCCACACTCAACATCCTCAGAACAGGACACAAGCCTCATCCCCAGCAGCAGATGACAAACCCAAGGGGTCACAGGACACCAGCCTGGTCCCACCTCACTCAGCATCCTCAGCACAACCTGGTCCTCACCACACTGAGGATCCTCAGAACAGGACACCAGTCTGGTCCCCATCAGCACATGACACAACCCAAGGGCTCACAGGACACCAGCCTGGTCCCCACCACACTGAGAATCCTCAGAAAAGGACACCAGCCATGTCCCCACAAGCAGATGACACAACCCCAAGGGTCACAGGACACCAGCCTGGTCCCCACCACACTGAGAATCCTCAGAA